TTATATGTATTTTACACAATTTTTTTAAAAGGTGGAAACGGTGGGAAGAAAAGAAAAACAAATTTTACATCCCTTATAATTATATATAACCAAGTCTTTTGCTTTAAATTTGCATTAAATTTGGTTCATGGGTGACACTGATGAAAGGGTAATCTTTTTATATGTCTGTTTCTCTTGATTGTGAGCTCTTGACTCTTTGTGAACAGAGCAGGGACAGCGTCAAATTCAGTTTTGTATCCTCAGTCCCTCACATAGATCCTCAACAAACTGATTGTTGAGAGGGTAGCTGAGGTATTGATGTGGGTATATTGGTGAAGGTGGTAGTAGTGAGTGGTAGTGGTGTCGACACCAAAGCAAATTCCAAAAGTTGTAAAGAATAATAATAGCTAATATAGATAATAGGCTATTCTGTCAGACACTCTATTATTATAACATGATATTAACTATAAAATCCCCAAACTACACTAAGTGATATGTATGATGATCTTGTGGTTCAGATGGAGAAACTAAAGTTCTGAGACATTAATTTTTTTGACCAAGGTGTCACAGATTAAGTGGTAACATCAAGACAGTTTGAACTCAGTTTTTGTTGCAAACCTAATACCTCAGTCCCTAAGTATTCTGCTTCTTCAGAAAGTTGCAAACTATTGCTGCTTTTTATTCTAATGTTTTTCAATGCAGCATGGTAAGAAAAGTACAAAACATTCAAAAGAAAGATATCTAAGTCCCTGCTCCATCATTTGAGCAAGCCATTTCCTCCTCTAATATGAGAAATCCTTGCCTTTTCTACCTAAATTGTAATATTGTCTCATGAAGTATTTTGCAAACTGAAAGTGTAATCACAATAAATTCTGGCCTTCCTATTTCTACTTTTGTTCTCAATAAAGTTTAGTTCTTTCAAGCCAATTAAAATCTTAGGCTTGATGGAAATTTTCCTTTATGTAGGGAGTGACTCATTCTAAAAATTCCTATCTAAATCAAAATTACTTAATTAATATAATTACTTATTGCTAAAGGGGAAAAGGGACCTTTACAGTGGAAAAATCTGGAAGATGCCACCAGCTGTGGAGATCACCAGTACAATATCGGCATAAGCTGATATCATGCACCTCCTGATGTGATGAACTGAGACACAATATCTCTTATATAGTATTCCTACCAAAAATCTAACCATGAAGAACAACATTCCATAAAACATATTCCATAAAACAAAAAACCTGGACTCTGCAAAAATGTCCGTATCATCAAAAACAAACAAACAAAAAAAGCTGAAGAACTGTTAGAGGTTTAAAGAGACATAACAACTAAATACAATGTGTAATCCCGGAATGCAAAAAAATTTTGTTGGCAATAATTGGGATAATTGGTAAAATTTTAGTAGATAGTGTACATAATATTATTGTAGCAATGCTAAATATCCTGATTTTGATCACTGTGTTTGTTAGAGAATGCCCTTATTCTTTGGAGATACACGCCAGAGTATTTAGGGATGAAGGATCTTGATGTCTGTAATTTATTAATACTTTCAGTGGGCTTGCCAAAGTATAAATAATATAAAAATACTACATATTTATATATGGGCTAACAGTCTTAATTCATAGAAGCCACTGTATTGGAATAAAATGTAGTAAAGTCAAGTATGAAAATGTCAGATGAAAGAAAAAATAGTTTTTTTGCGTATGATGGTACTAATTTTCCACAAATATGCCAGGAATCAGAGAAATCTAAATACAAGTGAGATGTAAAAGCAACAATCAAAGCTGCTGAGTATCAGAAGAATTCTGACAACATGCTGGAGAGTCCAACCCATGTTTTGAATCTAATATATCCCCAGGGATATACACGGTCCCTATGGCCATATCGAGGACACCTCTTAGGTTAGCAGGTCAGCTCGACACAATTCTCCCGTCTCTGGACACTGCTCCTGACACACACAATAGCCGGGTGGCCCCCAGTGCCGGGGCCAGAGGTAGAGCCTCAACCCAGGCTGAGCCAGCCAGAACTCGTCGTGTGTGTGTCGTGTGTGTGTCTGCCTGGAAGTCCCCAATGCCTAAGGGACTCCTGGGGGTGCATGAGCGAACGGATCCAGGGACAACGGAATTATTGTTTCTGGAGTAGTTAGCAACAAAAAGGCCGGCGACTTTACCCAGCGCTGGCATTAATCTACCACATCAGATTTGCAAGAAATGGCTCTGAAGCGCGTCTCAGCAGCTAAGCAGCGACAGCTAAACGAAGGCATCCTCTGCTCTGGGGGCGCCCAAGCGGGGAGAGGAGCTACAGGCGCCGACCGCAGCGTCTTTCGAATCCAGCCGGTTTCAGGGGTGAGCGAAGCAGCGCGGCACAACCCAGACTCACACGCACTTCGGACCCCCGCCTGCCCATCACTTCCCCAGATCAGCGCGGTCCCCGTCCACGGCCCACGCGGAGACATCTGCGCTGGTCCTCCCCACGCATTCAGGAGGAAAGGGGTGCACGAGGGGCGCCTCTGCCCCTCCGGGGGCGATCTGGCCCCGGGCCCGCTCCCGCGGCTGAGAGGCCCCCGGGACGCGCGGCCGCAGCTGGGACCGTACCTCGCGCACCGGCGACGTGGCGCCCGACGCGGCGTCGCTAGTCCCGTCCAGGCGCCTGGAGCCGGAGAAGCGGCCGCGGCTCATAGTGGCCGGAGCCCCTCGGGGCGCTCGGAGCGGAGCCGGCCCGGAGCGAGGCGGCGGCGCGCGCGCGTCTCCTCGGGCAACAGGTAAACACCGCGGGGAGCGGCCGTGCCCCGCTGCGCACGGGCACTGTGGCCCGGCCGCCTTCCGCCTCGGGCACGCGCCCGGGGGCACGGGACAGACTCCGGGACGAGGGGCAGAGGCTGC